GATGGAGTCCCTGGTAGATTTCCAAGGGTACAGCACACCTTCCTTTCTTCATTTTTTATCTTTTTCTCTCCTGCTCTTTCTCTTCCCTTTTCTTTCCTCTCCTCCTCCTCCTCCTCCTCTTCCTCCTTCTCCTCCTCCTCCTCCTCTTCCTCCTCCTCCTCATTCTTCTCCAGGTTTTTCTACTTCATCATTAAAAATGGAGTATTATTTCATAACCCTAACCCTATGATGAATTCTCTGTAAATTCTGATCGTCTTAGGTCAGCAGGTCAAGAGATAGTACTATGTATATTAAATGCTACAATAGGTACCTGTCCTCTTTTCTTTTGTCTCCTTTTATGGACTGTGGGAGGCCATCCTCACATGTGATTTGAGTTACCTCCCTGGCTGGGTGAGAGGTGCCTAGACACACATTGTCCGTGCAGAGGTGTCTGGCCATTGCCTCAAGAACCAATCTCCGCCCCTGACCTTGGGATGCTGTGCCCCTTAGCCTTCATTGGATGGGATTTTCCCTGGAATTTTTTGTTCTCCAATAAAAGTCCACTCCCTGGTGTGTTCTCTTCTCTCTCTCTCTCTTTCTCTCGCCTCTTCAGTAAACCTCACTACTGCATTAGATGGCGGGAGGCGGGAGCTAGGAGAAGCCATCCTGGAGCTGGTATTAAAGGTTATAAGAGTCTTGTCTCTTTCATTTAAAACTCCCTAGCATTTGCTCATGAATCAAACCTTCTTTCATGAAGCCAGCACTGGTCACGTAGCTGGCTTCATGAAAGAAGAATTTCACTCCATTTTCCTCACAGGATTCTCCATAGATTTTATTTGAATTAGAAAAAATTGGAAGACAGTGGTAGTCATATATGACTTAGGTTTTCCCCTTTTCTTTTTCTCTTTTAATTTCCTGGTGCTGGGGATTGAACCCAGGGCCTTGTGCTTGCAATGTAAGCACTCTATGAACTGAAATATATGAACTGCACCAGCCCCCCCCCTTTTATTTCTTAAAGAATGAGCTGTGTTTCTGCCACACACACGGAAAGAATATACTTATAAAAAATTATATACTGTAGAATCTGCCTCAAGGATATTTTGTTGTCACCTTTTATTTATTTCAGTTGTATATGGACTCAATGTCTTTGTTTTTGTGTGGTGCTAGGATCAAACCCAGTTGTCTCTTACTTGCAAGGCAAATGCTCTACCACTGAGCTACAACTCCAGCTTATACTGTTGCCTTTTAAAAAATTATTAATTCAAACAGCTATTTTGAATTATTTCTATAATCATAAATGGGGAAATACAATAACTTTCAAAAGTTTCTACGAAAGTAGCTGGGGACTGTATCCACCAGTCTCAGACTTACAAGAGGTAATATGTTGCTGTTGTCATTGTCACATTGCTTCCTAGTAAGCTGACTTACTAAGTAGAAATAATTGAGTTGTCCTGTGATCATTGATTATTTTATCAAGGCTACCAGCCCTTGAAGATCAGAAGTAAAAGAAGGAAATTTGCAAGCTTGCTACAATAAACTCACGGCTAGAAAAGTGCTACCTGTTGTAGCACTTAAAATACATAATAGTATCTTTTAACTAGCAAAATAGGTCCTTCCTGTGAAATTGTACAGGCATATCCTTACCATTGGCTGCATTATTTTTAGATTCAGTAATGGGTCTAAGGAGTTTCCAACCATTCAGCTAAATCTGCCAGCAAATTCCTCTGTATTTCAAAGCCAAAATCATTCATGCGAATACTTAAAACACTCAAGTGTAAAGCACAGGTTGACTTCATATCTTTCCAAGGGAGTGGGCATGTCTCTACACAGGGAGGTCTATTGAAGGTTTTTTGTTGTTGCTGCTGAGTAATGGTGGTGGTTTTGTGATAATGATTACAGTTTTTGTTCTGTCACTGTGTTCCTTTTTAACTATTTCTAGGAAATAACTGTAGACTAATAGCTTTATTTTAATTCTGCAAGAAGAAAGAACACAAAATTTTCTGAAGGATTATTTAAAAAAAATTTATTACAAAACTTTTGTTATGAATTAAGGTTCTTAAATAAATTTATTGTGACTCAATGCCATGAATAATGTGTGTTAAACTGTCATTTGTGGCCCACCTGTACCAGAATCATCAGTTTGTTAAACTGTGTCTGCATCACTATCACCTGGGATACTGACATAAAGAGGCAGATCCTCCATTAGAGTCCCACAACCACTGAAGTGCTTTATATTGCAGCCCAAGGAGTCTCTACCACAATCCCCATAGCCAACTGTGAAACAGACCCCCTTTGAAATGAAAATCTTCAAATTCTTTTTAAATTTTGATCTTCAAACTGACGATGGAGGTTGATGGACTGCCTGGCCCTCTTGGGCACTGCAAAAGGGAAAACACACTTTAAGACAGGTTCCTGATTAACACAGTCTAGCTAAATACACAATTGGGTATTTCCTGCCTTTCGCCCACACTGTGTTCTGTTTTTATGAAAGCTTTCCATGCCTCACAGTCACCAAAGATGAAGACTTGTCAAAGAAAATGTTCTTCTCTATCTTGCTCAAACCCAGGATGGAAAGAAACCAATTCTCCACTGCCATCCTGACTCCTGAGTTTTAATGCTGCAGAACAAACAGCAAAATATGTCCTTTTCTGTGAAATTGTAAAGGCACATAAGGTTTAAGAATCACTTGTTTATCTTAGAAATTCTTGAAAACTGGCAAAGAGGAAAAATTGTCACTTTTTAAAACTTAGACCTCAGAATTAGCCAATAAATTTCTTCATGACAGTTTTATTTTCTATTCTTTTAAAAATTTTTATCATTTTTTAATTTTAATTTTTAAATTTATTCTAATTAATTATACATGACAATATTGTACACAAATGGAGCACTTCCTCTGGCTGAACGTGGTGCACAGGCAACACCAGTAGTGTAGTTACAAATGTACATAGGGTATTAAAGTCCCTCTCATTCCACCATCCTTCACACCTCCACACCCTTCCCTTTACCTCCCTTCCCTCTGTCTAATCCAAAGTTCCTTCATTCCCCCCACCCCACTTTATGGATCAGCATCTGCTTATTAGCAAAAACATTCAGTCTTTGGTTTTTTGGGTTTGGTTTATTTTATTTTCTATTCTTAACACTTATTCTAGGGACTGGTATAGAAATGGGAAACAAAGACAAAAAAAAGAAAGAAACTATTTATACAAACTTTGCTTTAAAAGAAAAAAAAGAGCCACCAAAAGATTATTACAGTTTCACCCTGCCTGCCATGAGTGAGGTTGGTCTTCAACATATGGCTACAGCAACATAAATAAACCTTTATCTTACATTTACGCATACCTACTCAGGTCCTAGGAGCACTCTGAAGACACAAAGGAGGCTTCAGTACAATTGGGGCCTGGCCCACACCACTAAGAAACAAGTAGAGGCTGCCATATGCAAGACTTTGCATAGGCTTGATGTGGACATCAGTCTCATATTCCCCTGAGGGATGTTAGGTTAGCAAAATGAGGCAGCATACTTAATGGAAAGGAGGGGGCAGTAAAATTTGGAGAATGATTGAATAAAGGAAGCAGATTGTGCTAGGCTACAAATAAGAGGGCCTCTTAGCAAGTCATCAATTTCCTTCCTCACATGGACTCAAAGAGGTCAGACCTGAAGGTGCAGTGCAAAGTCCAACCTGGCTTGGCCTAGAGGAGCTACCTGGTCAGGTGTGGATCTGTGAAAGGTGCTAGCTGAGTCTCACTGACACTGTCCAGCAGGGCCCTGCTGCTCATTAGGGTGCTTCTAGAACTGCCAAGGAGCTCTACATTGAAATCACATGACCCTTGTGTAGGAGGCAGCAATTTCCCCAGAGTTGATTTTCTGAGGAGAGCTGCTGAGGTGAGAACTGTGTTGTGACAGGTGCTGTGTCACTGAGGCTGTTCATAAGCAGTGTCTCGAGGTTTAGCATGCACTCTTAGGTGCAATTTGTCTAGTGAGAGGCCTGGTAGTATTTTACTACTGGTATTCCATCACTGCCAGAAAGTCATTCTGCCTTTCTGCCTACCCTAGTAGGAGACATTTCTGATCACCTCTTCAGAAGGTGATCAGAAATGTCCTGCACCAGCTTTGAAGGAATAGGGCCCAGGTGCTCCTTAGCAGATAGGTATTTGTTCAGATGTGGTGAGGGGGTTAGGCCTAGGCTTCCTCATGTGTAAGGGACCTGTGGTGGCTTTGCTTCTTTTGTGGCTCCTGGAAGGCGAGGGTCTCAATGCTGGAGCACACAGCAGGACCCTTAAGGATTTCACCTGCAAGGAAACAGAAGAATCCTGTTCAGATGGAACTATTAGACCCCACTTATGATGCCCAGACACTGAAATTAGGGCAAAGCATGCAGGTGGGAGGTGGTAAAAAGAATGAGTCAAGTGGATGCACTGGGTCTGGAGGAGATTCCAGCTTCCAGCTTAGAGGATAAGCTTCCCTGTGCACCCAAATCCCTGATGCCCCAGCCACAGCCCTACTACTGTCCTCTTACTACTCAGTTCATGCTACAAGTTATGTGGTTTGAAGGAAAATAAAGGCCTTTGTGATCTTCCAGGGAAAAAGGATGGAGCATGAAATATGCACATGTAGAAACAGCCTGTACTGAAGAGGACATATTGGGGCAAGTTACCCTGTTAAGTGTTTGTCTCAGTTTTTTTAAGAAGAAGTCAAATTGATAGGAACCTCAGAGATCATTGAAGTCTAGGTCCACCTTTAACAGATGAGGGGCAATAGCTCACAGAGACAAAGGGACCAGCCAAAGGCATACAACCAGTTAAGATTCAGCCTGGAGTTAGAGACCAGAAATCAGGAACAAGAGAGGGTGGGCTGCACACTGGAGGAAGCCAGCAGAAAATGGAGGCTGTGGGTTACCTTGGCAGGGATAGGAGGAGGCTGTACAGAGGTAATCCTCTAAGTGTTGTGATAAGAGGCTCAGGAAAGAAAGCAATCCTCACAGAAGAACCAAAGAGAATTAAAAAACAAGAGGTAATTAAAACATGGCCAATCCTTGATCACACTATGGGTGTCAAGGATCTCAGGGTACAATATAGGAACATTCCTAGAAGGCTCAACTGCTCTTATATTTACC